TACCTGAGCCAGGAGCTAACCGCCCCCTGCCCCCCAAAACTGCTCTGCATTACTCTGAGGGCAGGGGGAGTCCTCTGGCTACAAAACACATCTTGAAGGCCCTTCACATAGTAGGATTCAGGGTGTGTGTGTGTGTGTGTGTGTGTGTGTGAGAGACATCATTAGAAATTAAGTCTGATCACTGCATATTTCAGGAGCCTGGTGTGTAGGCCCAGGAAGAAATGCCAAGGCTGCCAGGGGCTCCCTGACCGGTGGGGGCATGCAGAAGCAAGACACGACTCTTCTTCAGTTCTGGCCACTCCTCTCTGCTCTGCGACCCTCCATTCTCCATCGCCTGGTGCCATCAGGGGAGAGAGGTCACAGTAAACGTGTATTCTGAGACCCTCCTGAGCTCCCCATGTGGTCCCTGTCAGAGACCACAGGGGCAGGGCTCAGGGGCGTGGGGGGCTCCTCCTCCTTCATGCTCCAGGCTGAAAGCTCCTGGAGGGTCACCCGGAGCCTTCTCATCCACTGTCCCCATCAAAGCCAGAACAGCGCAGGATGGGGCACTTGGCAGCACAGCATAAACTAAATTTCCTCCGGGGTATCTAGTCTCTCACTGTCAACAGGCTCTTCCTTTGTTTTTGGAAAAGGTTTCCTAGAAGCAGAGCTGTGACAAGGATTCATGCACAAGCCGTGATTGAGGAAATTTCTTAGCAGAAACCGGCAGGGTTCGAGAAGGGAAGTAGGAGAAGAAGAGGAAGAAGCCAAGGCAGCGTGATTTCAGGAAGTCTCAGCCTAGGCCTGATCCCGGGGAGTTCTAGGCATAAATCACACCTCAGAGTTTGTACTGATTTAGGCAGGAAAGTTCGGCCTCCAGAGATGCACAGCAGTCAGACATTGGCTAGGGGCTGCTCCCGGGGTTGGAAATGCCAGGCACTTCCCCCTCTCTGTGCCTGTGGGCAGTCAGCTCCAGCAGCCGAAGGGCAGGCCTAGGAAGAAAGCCACAGATGTGAGCTATCAGAAGCCAAGCCCACAGAAGCCAAGGGATGGGCATGCAGAAATGGGTCTGCTATGTCCTTCATTCCACAAACCAGAATCAAGCCTCCCCCATGTTGCCAGGTGCTATGCTTGGCATGGGGGCAGCTGTGACCCAGGCGGATGCCGTCCGTCTCTGCCCTCCCCCACCCAGCATGTTCAGGTCTCCTCAGGTGTGTGAACCTTGGGGCTTCTGGCATCCCAGGACAGGCTCCATCTGCTCCAGCGGGTCACCTGGGGCCAAGACTGGGTCTGTGGGCCTGCACCTGCCTCAGAGGGAGGACAGACAGGGAGCTGGCCAGCGTCACAGGGCACCAGAGCTTGGGGCCTGGGTGCAGGTCCCCTTATCCCTACCCCTTCACTTTATTGGAAGGAAGACACGCCAAGAGGGGAGTCCCAGCAGCATGCAGTTTCTCTGAGATGCCCTCCCAGGGTAATCTGGTCAAGGACAGGCCGAGCTTGGTGGCCAGCACTGGTTAAGAGGACCTTGAGACTCTCAAGCAGAGGTGGCCTCTCTGACGGCTGTTTCTGGGTGGGAAATGTGCCCCCACTCAGGTCTCCTGTACCCCGCTCCAGTGCTCTTGGGCACCAGAAGCAGAGCCCTACCAAGCCTGGGAAAGACTGAGGCTATGCCCTCAAATGAAGCATGTCCCAATTACTAACAGCATGTCCCAGAGAGAGAGAACACCTCCTGCCAGGCAGCTGGCTGGGGCAGAGATTTGGAGGAAGGACAGCCCTCCCTCTGGTGGGTCTTGGCACATCCACTTCTGCACCCAGATGAGGCCAATTCTAATGGCCATGTCTTGGGGACAGCCAGGTACAATTCAGTATAAGGGGATCCAGAGCACGAGGCCAGGGAGTAGGGGGCTGGCCCTGCTTTTCCATTGACTTTCTGTGAGACTTTGGGAAAGTCTCTTGCCCTTCTTTGCCTCAGTTTCCCTTCCTGTGCCATGGGGCTAGACATCCCTCTCCACCTGCCTGTCTCAGCTGGGACAGGAGCTTAGATCAGTCACATTCTTGCTCTCAGGCCTGTCCCTACCAAACCTAAAAGGAGGAAGCAGCCTTCCAGCGCAGCGACCTCCCAGGAGGGACAGCCCCCTCCCCTAGTTCTCTGCAGCGGCCTTTTTGAATTGCTCCAAATAGGTTTTCCCTGCGTGTGAGCCAGTGAATGCCTCAGCCCCATCTCCCTGAGCCCTTATCTCCAGCCCCAGCTGGAAACTTGATGTATTTATTTGCTTCTCCCAGGACCTCTTCCGTCCAACCCACATCTCTGCTGGAGCTGCAAAAGCGACCTTCCTGCAGATGGCTGTGTCTGGTAGCCAGGTGGGGGCTGGGCAGGGAAGGGACAGCAGTAAATCCCTCCAGCCTCCAGCCTGCAGGGTGACCTCACTGTCATCACTGTTGTAGGGGTAGAGGAGACAGTTGAGGCTTGGCGAGGTGGGGACAGAAGTACCGAGAGAAGTAGTTGGGGATAGGATCTCTCAGATATTAAATGGGCTGGAATCAGGAGAGGGAGAAAGGCGGAGAAAGGGGGGAAGTGAAAGAGAGGGGATTGGTTGGGATGCCTGGGTGGCTCAGTCGGTTAAGCGTCTGTCTGGCTCAGGTCATGATTCCAGGGACCTGAGATGGAGCCCTGTGTCGGGCTCCCTGCTCAGCAGGAAGCCTGCTTCTCCCTCTGCCTCTGCTGCTTCCCCTTGCTTGTGTGCTCACTCTGGCTTGCTCTCTCTCTGTCAAATGAATAAATAAAATCTTTAAAAAAAAAAAAAGAGGGGATGGGGAGGTTAGGGGAGAGGGAAGGGAGGAGGGAGGGAGGAGAGGAAAAGGAAGGAAGAGGGAGAGGGAGGGCAATGGAGGGGAAAGAAAGGAGGAGAGGGAGGAGAAAAAGAGAGGGGAGGGAAGGAGGAAGGGAGGAGGAGGGGGAGGAGAGGGCAATGAAGGGAAGAAGCCCATAGGGCTTTCTGGGGGTCAGCACAGTGCCTTCTCTAGAGTACTGGAGGTATAGACTTATTTTTCATTCAGTGTTGCCAATTCACAAAATTTAGTGCTTTTTGTATGTTATCTCATTAGTCCTCATCATTTCTGAAGTATGTATTATCACCCTCAATTTGCATATGAGACCACAGAGGCTAAGTAGCTTGTCCAAGGTCACATAGGATTATGAATCAGGTCTCTCCAAAGCCTGTGTCCTAACCACCCAGCACCCTTCCCCACTTGCAAGCAGATTCAACAAGGACCCCACCACGGGCCCAGCCTCACCTGCCCTCTGCCTCCTCCTTGGCTCATCTGATTGTAGAATCAGTCGGCTCTGGTTTCAGCCAGGCCTGTATAGCTATTGAACTCCAGGAGAGAGTCTGCCAGGAAAATTCGATACCTAGGCCCTCTGCACTCAATCTGGTCAACAGTTTCAGACAATCAGACAGGTGACACTGGATTTCACCATTATGTCCTCTCACACTTGTTTGGCTGGCTAGCTTTGTGGAAAATTTCTGAGGTTAGCTAGCTAGCTTTTGTAATCTGCTTGGCTATCAAGTTTGTGATATTTATATTTATAAACTGACTTTAGCACATTCCAGGCAGCTGGTCTTTAAAGAATTCCTCAGGGCTGAGTTTAAGGAAGTTCCTTGAGCCAAGAATGAAGGAATTTTCCCTCCACTGTCAGCAAATGTGTTTTGTCAGGGTGGGTAGAGACTTCCAAACTTTCTGGTTTTTTGTTTTGTTTTGTTTTTGAGAAGGGGTGTCTCAGTTGAAATTCTAGACCCTTCTCTCAAAAGAGTCACTTCAGTCATCTGCTTTAATCAAATCTGAAGGGTCTGGAGCTGACACCTGGATTTGGATACAAAATTAAATGATGGCCCTGTCTCCATCTCTCCCCAAGCCCCAGCCTCAGCCACCAGGCTCAGCCCAGGACCAAGGCTCCAGGCAAGTGTGTCCTTACAGACTTCTGCTCCTGTTCCCTACCCCTACCCTGCAGGGGCTCCCTGCAGCCCCTTCCCACCTCATTCCCACCCAGGAACTAAGCCACGTGGAGGGGTTAATAGCCCCCAAGGACTCTTCTTACTTGCATTGTAACTGGGGATGGGGCCTTACCTAAAGTCATGCATTCTCATCAGAGACAATATTACCCCATAGAGGATGAAAATAGGTTCAAGGGGTCCCACTAACAACCATAGATATTTCGATGGTTTCTGACCCTCCAAAGGACCACAGTACATAAACAGATATATAGTACATGTGTGTAAGGAAGAAGTAAAATGATCTCTATTTGCAGATGACACGATTTTGTATGTAGAGAATCCTAAGGAATCTACAGGGTATCTGTGGTATTCAAATTACACTGGAGGAGGGTCATGACTAGGTAGAAGTATGTCTAAAGAGCCTCCTTATGGGGGTAATAAAAATAAAAAGGTTGGAGAAGCACTGCTCTAAAAGAAAAAAAAAAAAGAATTAGTAGAAATTCAAGGGCTGGAACCAGAATGTTGGGATGTTAGCTTTCTAAAGCTTGAATTTCACCTCTTGTGAGACCAACAGACCAGGAGGGTGCGGGGAGGAGAGGGCAGAGAGCTGCCCCCGCCCCCTCCCCCAACCCACACCCCTCATCAGCGCGGCAGTGCACCTGGCAGCTGTGGGCCACAGATGGCTCCAGTCTAGACACAGGCGCCCTGCTGGGTAGACCCCAACCCTGCCACGTACAAGTTTAATGACCTTGAGCAAGGTGCGCGACCTTCCTGCTCCCCACCCCCACCCTGCGTTCATCTGCAGAAAGAGGGTGATGACGTACCCGCAGAGGGGTGCTGGCAAGACTGCAGATTACCTGTGCTCAGAAAGCGCATGGAGAAACATTGAGAAAGCACACAGTTACCTTCCAATTGTGTCCGCTGGGGGCAATATTCATCAGCTCGAGCTGGAGGCCCTCACTCCCGGATTGGACCATGGTTGTGCCTCCCCACCCAGGGTTCAGTGAGCTCAGGTGGAACGCCTGCACATGCTTTTATTTTATTTTAATTTTTAAAAAGATTTTATTTATTTATTTATTTGAGAGACAGAACACGAACAGGGGGAGGGGCAGAGAGAGAGAGAGAGGGAGAAGCCGACTCCCCTGCTGAGCAGGGAGACCAATGTGGGGCTCGGACTTGGGGCTCAGACTTGGGGATCGATCCTGAGACTCTGGGATCATGACCTGAGCTGAAGGCAGATGCTTAACTGACTGAGCCACCAAGGCACCCCGGAGGGGTGCTTTTAGAAGAGGATGCTGGGGAGGGAGGCAGACCACACTCAGGGGGCCGTATGAGGGGGTTCTCAGAAGCTCCTGCCCCTCCACAGTTTCATGGACTCTTCAGCTGCTAAAGTGATCTATCTGTAGCCTCAAGAGTGACTCTAATTCTGTTCCTTTTGATTCTTAACTCCATTGCTAACCTTCATCACCAAATGTGCCCCTAAATTTTATATACCCCAAATCCTAACCTGAAGCTTTACCCCAACTTCTAACCCCACCCCATCCTGCCCAGTTCTAACCTGGGCCCTGACTTTAGCTCTAACCCTCATCCTAATTCCATGGGTAGGTAACCCAGGATTTCCCCAAATTAAGTCACAAGGTTTGCTATACCTGTGTGTCTCCTGAGCTTGTGGTTACCTAATACTTGTCCTTAAATTAGACCTTTAAATAATTCCACTTTAGCATCATTCTGAGCAACTATATTCCAGAAATCACCGTTTTGATATGCTGGTTATATTTTTTTCTAATGTTAAAATGAACACAACACGGCTAACGTTCTTGAACTGCTTCTCCACGCACCATCTACCTGAAGCTACTTCCTATACCACCCGCAGCGTGCCGGGCGCTTACGGAAAGACTGAGCGCTTCTGAGCGCTTCCGGAGCCTAAGCCCCACGCCCCTCCACTCCCCACCTACTGGAGCTGCGCCTTATCGCAGGGCCAGGCGGGGCTGCAGCGCCCCCTGCTGGCTGATTCTGAGAGCAGCTCCAGCTCGGCTCCCTTCCCTCTGGGGCGGGTAGGCACAGGGGCTGGGGACACGTGGGCTGTGGGGTGGACGCAAGCCTGAGGTCAGAGGATCCAGGAAGAAGGGCTGGGCCTGCTGGGAGCTGTAGGGTGCTGGGTAAACTCTGAGAGAGGGAGAATTGCCAGGGTAGGCACTAGGCGTCAGAGCGAGTCTGGGTAGGAATAAGGATGAAGTGGGGCAGGTGGGGACTGGAGGAGGAGGGGTGGGGGAGGGGGCCGGGTTCCTGGGGGTGTGAGCCCTTGGGCCTCAGAAGGAGGCACCAGAGCCGGTAGGGCTGGCCCTGGCTGAGCTGTGTCACTGGAAGGCTGTTCTCTGCTTCAGGTGCGTGAGGCTGAAATCCCCCATTTGGGTGTGCTGGGGACACAGAGCCACCCACTTCTCAGCCACTCCAAGGTCGACTCCCCTGCTCTTCTCCCTGACTCCCTTGGACCCCCACAATTGTCTGCTCTGCTCTTGTTTTTATTCCCTGAAGCCAAGCCCATGTATATTTTTTGCTAAGAGCTAAGATCTATTAATTTCTTGTAACTTATGAAGCAATAAAACTGTCATCTTGGTTGTCTGTAAAATAAGATCTTATGTTTGTGTGGTTCTTCATATATTAAAAACCTATTTCCACATTCTCTCATTGGTTCATGCAGGAGCCTGTGAGGGAAAAATGATTGATATGATCCCATTTGACAGAGCCAGAGCCCATGCCTCAGTGAGCTTGACACACCAGACCAGTCAGAGGCTGTGGTGTGAGGATTGAAACTAAGTGTCCTGACTTCAAGCCCAGCAAGTTCATGGTTAGCTGACATGGGTGAATCTGAGATAGAATTCAAACATGAGGCACAGGGGATCTATTTGAACTTGCTCTTAGAGACTAAAACTCCAGGACTGGAATTTGGGCATCTGGGGCAGGTAGGTGGGGTTAAGGGTGGTGGCACTGATCCAGTGACATCACCAGGCTGCTCACCCAGGCTTGGGGAGGGCCAGTCCCCCGACACTGCCTGTGCCGTGGGAATCCCTGCACGTACTAACGTGGATTCCGCTGGGGACACCCTGGACAGCGGCATGTTAATTACACATCGCTAATGTCCTGGGCTCCCCTCCCCATTGTTGGGGGTTTTACCCTCTGTGACTCTGGGGACACACACAGGGGTGCAAGATTACCCAGCAGGGAGCAGAGATGACAGACACCCGTCTCTGGCTCCAGATGCCCTCTAGGGGGTAATTTGTGAAACTGGTGCTTCTTTCCCTCCATGTGCCTCTCCTTTGGGGAGATGATCCCCGACAGGCCCACCTTGGGTCTCCCTCTTTGGAATGGGGAAGCTCACATCTGTGAGGTCCCCAGCACTGAACAAGGGGCTCTCAGCTCTGCTGAGTCCCGAAAGGATGTGACGAAGGGCAGCTCTTCCATGTCCGGGAACGTATCCTCTTCCCCAGGCAAGAGGCTGCTTGGTGGCTGCTGGGGTGGGCTGAGCAGCGCTGGATTGGTGCATCAGACTTCGAACATCCACATCTTTATTAGAGGCTGCATAAATGGAGAGAGGGCAGAGCAGCCCTTTGTTATAAAACCTGTGGTCAAGCACTCTGCAGGTAGCAAGCATGGTGGGGCTGGAAGCCAGTGGGTGCCACGCAGGTCGGGGCGAGGCTGAGGGAAGAGGATATGAGCGGTGGGCCAGGTGCTGCTTTGCACTTGCCGAGATGGTTATCACAGCTAGGCTGCGGCCCCATCAGCCTGTTCCCACGGCAGCTTCTAAGTCAACACTTGCTTTGAACTTGAATCCTATTTTCAATGCATCAGAGTTCACTGGTCGCCCAGCACTCCCACTGTGGTAGCCAGTTCCCATGCAATCCCTCAGTGCACCTGCAGGACACCTGCTGGCTGGGGGCTGAGGTGTGGGCACGCAGACCTCACCCCTGTGAAAGCTCGGGCAATGGAGGCTGGAGGCCTGGGCTGTGTCCCGGTGGCAGGAGGCAAGGAAGAAGGAAGGGAGAGGAGCAGGACAGGGACAGTGGTTCTGCTGGCCAGAGGGAAGGCCCTGACCTGCCTCTGTTCTGCCGCTGACCTCTGGTGTGACCACAAGGCTGGGGGCCTTAGCTTGGGGCTGAGAGCTAGGGTTTAAGTTGAAAACCGTCCTGCCCACTGCCTCGATGGCTTTGGTCCATGTCTAAAATCCCAGAGTGGCAGAGCTGGACGGGAGCCCATTTAGTGGGTGGAGATGCCAGAGCTCAGGAAAGGGTCTTTTCCTAGGTCACCCTCCATGTGCCCAGTCGGGCCCAGGACTTGCTCTGCTACTCCACCCTGCTGCGCTTTTGGGGAGCAGTCTATCAGAGTACTGGTTCTGAGTCTTAGAGGGTGTCAGATTCATCTGAAGGACGTGCTAAACCAGCCTGCTGGGCCCACCTCAGAGATGCTGATTCCAGAGGTCTGGGGTAGAGGCTCCCAGGGGATGCCAACGCTGCGGGCCCCTGGTGTATGTGGCACGTGGCGCTAGGTTAGAGGACATTCCTCAGTGGGGCTGAGGTGAGCAGCGCAGAGAGAGCAAAAGCCATGCTGAGAGGGGCTGGTGGCCTGAGGGCCGAAGAGCGAAGCCTGACTAAGGGGAGGTGTCCGTGCGGCCAGAAGGAAAGGAGCAAGCTCGGAAGGGTCAGACTTTGGAAGGAGGGACAGGCATGAAGCAGCAGCTTCTGTCTCTGCCGATATGAGGCTCTTTGGGGATGAAAATGCATTTTTGTCCCCAGAGCAGTGAACAGAGAGCTGGCCTTCAGACAGGCAGACGGTGGGAGAACCCAAACTCATGACAGCGGCTTGGTTTGAAAGGCACTTTGGGTACCCGTGGGGTGTTGCGGGCAGGGTCTCTGGGGGGCGTCAGCAGGTCCCCTAGGGCAGTGGCTGGGGGTCAGGGAGAGGCTGCAGGGACACTCACGGAAGTGGCAGGTTGGGTGGCTGGGGGCCACTCAGCCCAGAGGCCAGGCCTTCTTTACCCCCTGGTTTTGGCTCCTGGAGGAGAGGGGGCCAGGGCTCGAGGGAACCAACCCATGGGTGCTCCCAAGGCCTGAAAGGGGATCTGGTGGCCCCTGGGGAGTTAGGACTTGGACTTGCTTGGACTTGGAACCTTCTCTGTGGGGTTTTTAGAGAAGGGGAGTTTGGTCCCAGAGAACAGATTCCGGACCAAATGACAGCGGGGTGCTGGGGGCCAGGACCTGGGAATGCAGTGATGGGCAGTGGGTTGAGGGGGGCGCTGGCTCAGGGACCCCCTCCCCATCCCCAGAGATTCCAAGCCAGTCCGGGCTTCCTCTCAGCTCTGCTGGCACACCCTCTCTGCCAAGCTGTGGCCGGCGACAGGGGCGGCGATGCCTTCCGCCTGGGCGGAGACGGGCTCCTCCGACAGGCCTCTGAAGTAGGTGCTCAGAGCCTGCAGGCTGCCGGCGCGCTGGGCGGGGGGCGACGAGGCGGGGGGCAGGCCCAGGTAGCGGCCATACTTCCGCAGGCCCTGCTGGGGGTCGCGGCGGTGTGCGGCCAGCAGCTCGGTGTAGGTCACGTTGTGGAGGGCCAGCAGGCGGGCCTGGGCGCGGGGCAGGGCGGCCGCCCGCACGAGCGGCTGCAGGGACGCGAAGCACTGCAGGCTGCTGAAGGAGTAGACGTGCTGAGCTAGCGGGGGGCCCGGGGAGACCTCGAGGAGCCGGCACAGGTCTCGCATGGCCAGCACGGCGGCCAGGGCGCTGCGTTCGCTCATGTTTCTCGCCAGGTAGGTCTTGGCCAGGCTCTTGAGCTTGAAGCTGCTGGCCCCGGGCACCCGCTCCCGGATGAGGGGCAGCGTGGCCACGAAGCCCGAGATGGCCTTCTGAAACTCCCACAGCTTGTTCATGTCTTCCAGGGCCCGGAAGAAGTTGGGGAGGCCGGGTCCCCACAGCTTATAGCAGGCCAGGATGGGGCAGCCCATGGAGCCCAGAAAACCAAGGAAGTGTTGCAGCCCCACCTCCAGGGAGACGGCCTTGGAGTACGTGCTGAAGAAGGTCTCTGGCTGGATGAGCACGCGGAACTCACTCTCCCGGTTCACGGCCGCCAGCTGGCTAATCTTCTGGGCTGGGCAGGAGAGAAGCGCAGGGTGAGGCCCCAGGGGCGTAGCGGGGGGGGCGGCGGCACGGGGCGGGAGCAGCAGGAACTCTGGGGTTACTGTCCCACCACACAGAGACCCCACCTTGGGGCCTGCCAGCAGGAACCACACATCAGCCTCCAAACGTAGCTCTACCCTGGCTCTCGTGGGGTCAGGGGGCAGAAGGCGAAAGCTGGCTGCTCTCCAAACACCCCCCACTCACCTGCTGGGAGTCCAGCTCCGCCCCACGCCCCTGACCCTGCCACCTGCCCCAGACTTTGCCAGTTTAGAGCCAGCTCCCTCCTGTCTGCCTTCTGTTAGCCTCACCCACCTACACTCGGGGGCCCTCTTTGTCTCCCCTGCATCCTCTGCTCCCTGCCCCAGCCTCCAATCCCATTGGTCACTAAGCCAAGACTCCTGGCCGGTCAGAGCCCTGGGACACACGGCCCACCTGCCCAATCGACTCCATTCGGAACGTGGCTCAGAGCTGCCCTGTGAGGTCTGCAAATGACTTCCCTGTCCTAGGCCTACAGCACCACTTCTGCCTGGCTGGGCTGGCCCCGTGCTGGGACTGTGCCACAGGGCAGGCCGGGCCCTCCAGGTTCAGTGAAGGGCACTGCAGTTAAGCACCACGGGGAGCTGAGGGGCTTCTGGGAGAAGGGGTCATCTTTCTCCATGGTCTTGGCTGTCAGCCTCCCTGTGCGGCCCACCTGCGGATCGGGCTCTGTACTCAGAAATGCCGCAGTCAGGGCTTAAGGCCTTGTTTGCATTGCTGGCCTCATCGTGGGGACTTCCCACATGGTGGTGTTTCTGTTTAGAGGTGTGTCGCCAGGGCTCTCTAAGAGAAGCGCTGGTCAGAGGTGAGCTCATGGAGGCACGTGCCTCATGCTTTCAGGCGCTGGTCGAGGCAGAAGCCTTTATTCCATCAGCCAAGTGGGACAGCTGGAGTCCCAGGGGGGATGCAGCGCTCTGCCTGCTCTCTGGGTGTGGCACTGGCCAGAGCTCTGGGCTCGCCCGGGCCAGGAACACAGCCTCTGCCTGCGCTTATTTCGGGAACTCAGAGACTAAGCTAGAAAGGGGTGGGGGTGGCCATTGGAGAACCCACTTTCACTGTCAATCTTGAGGTCAAAGAAAACCAGGGGCCTGTCTTCTGCTTGGGGGTCGGCGAGGCTCTCGTCCAGGACCCTGAGGGAGCTGGGGCCCTCCAGCTGGAGGTCACTGGACTCGCTGCTGCTGTCATCCAGCTCTCGGGAGGACTGCAACACAGAAAAACCAACAGGTCAGGGGGCCGGAGGGCGAGGGTGCATGGTGGCAATGCGAGCATGTGCCCGTGAGCGTGTGTGTGTGTGCATGGCGTGAGTGTGGGGACACGAGCAAGCTGGTATGTTTGGGGGCATATCTGCACGCACATGAGGGAGAGCAGGGTATTGGCAAGGGGAAGGTGTGTGTCTAAAGTGAGTGTGTGCATGAGGATGTGTGCACATGAGTGGATGTGTGTGTACGTGAGAGCCACGTGTGAACCACGCAGTAGTGAGTAGGAGTGAGAGACTGAGATCACGCAGGCAAGTTGTGTGTGTGTGTGTGTGTGAAAGCACAAGTATGGGAATGAATGCAAATGTCAAATGTGTGCATTGGGTGTGAATTTGTGAACCGGTGTTGACAACTGTGTGGGAATGTGAGCATATGTGAGTGAGTGTGAACCTGCGGGCATGGTGCTGGGCAGGGAAGCTCAGGAAGGGGCTGTTGCTGTGGTGGGCGGGGCTGGAGGGGTCTGCTGCTCCCTTCTCTCTCAACAGACTCAGAAGAAACACCCTGAACTTGGGACAGGAGGAAGGAGCCTCATCTCAAACCTCAGATGTTTCTCTGGAAGGGGCCAGGAGCCTGGCTCTTCTTGTCCCCATGGCCAGCCTGGGCCCCAGTGTCCTACACAGAGGGGGAGGGGAGGGCCACTCAGCCTCAGGAACGCCACGTCAACATGGACACACAGAACCCATAGCGAGAGCCATGGAGAGAGAAGTCTCAGGGCCCGGAAGACCTTTGTCATTTAGCATCCAGGAGCCGGCTGCTCAGAGAAGCCTCAGGCCCGGGGATCCTCTAACCTGGGCACCCAAGGCCCTGTTCTCTCCAGCACCCAGGCAGAAACAGTTCGAAAGGCCTCAGGGGTGGGGGAAGGGCTCTAACTCTGTGAGGCTCCCAAAGGGCTGCGGCTGGAGGGTGGTAGAGCCTCTCCCTAAAGTGAATTGCTCAGCATCCACCAGCTGCCATACCCAGAAGGTGTCTTTGGTGGCCTGCTTAGAGCTTCCCCGGGGATGCCACCTGCGGATGTTAGCCAGAGACTAGGAGGAAAGGACATGGCTGATGCCACAGGGCCACGTGTCACAGGGCTGGGAGTACTGCTGGGACAGAGTCCAGAGCAGACCTCGGGTCCTTCATATTTCCGGACTGCCTCTAGCAGGGTGATGATGCTGGCCTCCCCCGGGGCTATCTGAAGAACGAACGCCGGCTTCTGGCTAATGTCCCTGGCTCAGGAGAGAATGAGCGCGGGTTTAGGCCCTCTTACTCTCCAGGTGAAACATTTTAACAAAACTTCAGCCAAGAGCGAAGTCATTACTAAGCACAGGTACAATGTGCTGGATTTTCCTGGGAGTGCCTGATTCTTACTCTTTTTGCTTTTCATAACCCTACCCCAGGCTCACCAACTTCCTCCCAGTCACTGATAGAAAAGACATTCACTATGAATCCACCTAGAGCTGGTGTTTCTCACAGAAGCCTGGGAGTAAGGGGATTCTACACATTAAGGCCCTAATTAAAGTCTTGGTCAAATGCCTGGCATATCCGTATCCTCGATTTGGCCACGCATCAAAGGTTTATTTTGCATGCCTTGCTCTGAGTCTTCTGTCTCCCGGTCCCAGCTCCCTTTCCTCCCTGTAAGGAGCCCTCTACAGGTGTCTTCCTCCAAGTTGTTGGCTGGTGGACCAGAGACGCCACCTTCCTCCCCCGAGGGAAAAATTCAGGTGTTTTTTATCTTCAGCCTTCCAGACCTTGCTCTTGCACTTGGGCTGGTGGAAAGAGCTGGACTCCTTTTGCTGTGTCCTCTCTGGAGCTGAAGAGCTGTCCCTTTTCCCAAGTCCTCTCTGCCACCTGCTGACATGGCACACGGAGCATTCTCTTCTTTCTTCCTCTTTTTGCTCCCAACCTAACTGCAAAAGCCTGTGCAGTGGTCCTGAGTGCCTCCACCTGTCTCCTTCCCTCTGGAATGTCTTCTCAGGCCTTAGAGCCCTGGTCACCTCTTCGGATTTCCTCTTCCCAGATTTGAGCTCCCTGGAGAGCAGCAGAACTGCGTCTTTAGGCTAGCTCCATCTTCATACCAGGGTCATTTATGATGGCCATGAGAATCTCATTTTTACGGCCTCCCACTGTCCTGGGGTCATTTTCTCTTTTATAGTGGTGCAATGTCTTTCATCCAGCTCCCTTAAAGAAAGGATCACCCCCTTCTGCCGAGCTGGTCAACGGCGGGAAGTCTGGAACTTCCAGCCCGGACTCTTCTTCCTTTCAGGTTCCTCCTCACCTTTGGGGACTCCTGTTAAGTGCAGCCAGCGCATGGGGATGATCTCGCTAGAACACCTTCCACTGAACTCCAGCGGGGCCCATCCACTTAAGCGCCCTCCCTGCCTTAAATCCCAGCAACACGGCCAGGAAATACCGGCGCGCTTACGAAAGATTTTTCTAAAGACCGAGGTTTAACAAAAGGGCAATCAGCACAAGAGGCTCTGGTGCAGGATGTCCTCCTGCCCCCTCCCCACTCATGAGAGGAGCACCACTGCTGGGCTTCCGTCCACAGTCAGGGGAACTGAGTGTGCAGGTGGGGAGTGTAGAGGGATAGGAGCAGAGACCCAGACCCAACCCAGGAAAGGGCTTTTTGTTGGAAGAGGCTTGAGATCTGCTAGGAAGGGAAAAGGAACGGTGGAATGGGAAACGGAGTGGTGAAGATGAGAGTCTGCATGCACGGCCTGGAAAGCGAGAAGTGGGAAGTTCCAAGGCATTAGGGAGTGGGCATGATGGGAGCTGAAGAAAAGAGGAAGAGGACCTGAAGATGTGCTGCTGGGAGTTGGGAGTCAAACCCCCTTTAATATTCTTTACTTGGTTGGGGAGCAGGTAAATACTAGGCTTTATTCCTTTATTATACTTGGTTAATGGACTGTTTCTTTGACTGCAGAACTGTGGTCACACTGAGCCCCGGGGAGCCCACGAGGTTTTCAGGAAACACATCGAACTAAGAGACACATGTGGCCCGGCTCGTGAGCTACAGTTCACTTGTCTCCAGCAAGGATCAACTTAGCAGGGCAACTGCATTCCTAATCCACACAGCAGGCCTCCCAGTCGCACCAAGCACACCCATAGGAAGCAGCCGGGCTGACATTTTAATCACCTTCCACAAGTCTAGGAGGTTTCTCTGGGAAGATCCAGTGTCCCCCTCTCCCCTGCTGGATCCTATCCCAGCATGTACGGGTCACCTCCGTTGAAGGCTGATAGGTACACGAATCACAGACGGGCAACTGAACCTCCCAATTCAGTGGTTCTCCCCTTTTTGGCTGTGCATTAGCGACCTCAAAAACTCCAGATGCTCGGGTTGCACCCCAGACCAGTTCAATTACAATCTCTGGGAGTGGGACCCAGGAATCTGTCACTGGAAACAACCCCCCACCTCCCCCCAAAGATTCCAGTGTGCAGCCAAGGTTGAGAACTACTGTCCTACTGATTCACTCCACGCTTGGTCAGCAGCCACTCAGACAGGAGCCAGACTTTTTGATATTTAGCATCTGGTCACCTGAAGTTGTCTACACAGTACCCACCATTCATTCTTATCAAGAGTCCCCAAGTTCCTGAGGAACCCTCTCAGCACCCAAGCTTCAATGACAGCTGCGATCAGTTTGGCAAGACGCACGCATTGCTTTTTTTTGCAGACACAAAACCCCAGCTCTTGCAAAGTCTGGAAGCCCCGAAACACCTCCCATGTATCTGTGAACTGGGCCATCCTGTCCGCAGCCTGCGGCCCCTGCTGCCCCTGCTGCCCTCCACCCACTGCTCCGGCCCCCTCTGCAAGCTGCTGCCCCTCGGGACCACGGCTCCCACCTTCTCAGACGAGCACCTGCTTCTTTTCCGATACCCACACATCAGCAGCACGGCCCCTCCCGTGGATCGGCTGTCCCCCATAGGCCTCCCTCTTCTCCTGCTGGCCACCACCGCCACTTCGGCCACGGACCGACCTCTCCTGCTTCCACGTGGTCCTGCTCCTGCCGGACACCTGGGCCAGCCGCCTGTCCAAGGGTAGGTGAGAGCATTCTATTTTTTTCTGCCTCGGACCCTAACACGGGGCTCACGGCAGAGGCACTGCTGACCCGCCTCGTGTTCAGTTGCCCACCATCAGGCCTGGCCTGACCCCTCCAACCGCCTCTGCCAGCTCACAGATCGCTCTTCCTGCACAAGCAGTCTCTCCCTGAGCCTCGACCTCCTGGCCAGGCCTGCACCAGAGCCCCCCGGCATGTCTCACTAGATTCCAGCAACTGACACAGCAGCAATCTGGGGATGGGGGTCCCTACGCAACCTGGTACACTTGGAAAAGGTGCTCTTTTCGTAGGCCAACTTTCACACGTAGCAGGTGGGATGAAGGCTACGGAGGGGGAGTTCAGGGGTATGCAGGAGCCTGAAGCACCTTGCCAAGGAAGCCCTGCTCCCCAACCAAGTTGCTGCGGGTACTCTAGGAGTGCCAGGTTCCCGAAGGGGGCACAGGAGGTGGGTGAGAAGTGCACGAAGGGGTCCTCATTGGTTTTCGTTTTAAATATATGTTTTTTAAAGTTTGGGACTCATAATGCTTAATTTAAAAAGCACGCTGTCCGAAGAATTCCAACACAAAAGCAGCGGTCCTCCAGCTCTCCCCCAGCCCAGAGCTGGTCTCTGAAGGTGAGTGGCTGCTTCTAATTGTTTTAACTCTTCACCACCTAAAATGAGCTTCTCCCGCCTTCCTTGAATAACCTCAGACATCACCTCGCGCCTCCCTGCTGATGGCTGGGGCCAGACTGACACCCGCCCCCCAAGACTGCTGGTCTTGATGCCCGCACCCAACTCTCGTGAAGTCTGGCGAGACCACCGGCGTTGCCATCCTTTCTCAGAGTCTCCTTCCCAGGCTTCCACCTCTGCCCTGGATCAGTTCTGTTTTAGCAGGTTTCTGGGGTGGAAAGAAGTGCCCAGGGTTCAGAGGAATGTAGACTGTGGAAAGATTAAGACTGAAAATCTGACCGGCGCTGAGGAACGATTGACAGGGGCCTCCGCTCCCGTAGCCAGGCAGATGGGGTGACGTACCGAGCAGACAGCAGACAGAGGAGTCTGAGGGATCTATGGGGCATCTGAGCACGGACTCCGGAGGCCCACAGGCTATCTATCCTGGTCTGGCTGCAGGAGTGAGGGCCCGGCATCAGCAGCCTGCGGGCATGGCTGAGGCCACAGGAAGGACACACTAGGAAGAGAAGAGGGGCTGCAGCTGGAAGAACATGGAAAAGAACAGAGGCCTGAGAGGAAGATGAGGAGTAGCAGCCGGAGCTACAGGAACCGGGGTGGGGAGGGCAGGGGTCCTCGAAGTACCTGAGAGCTCGAGGGGCAGGATGCTGTGGCCAGAGTCCCTGTGAACCAGTTCTCGGTATGGTGAGGTGCAGAGTGGGGGGCCATGGGGCTGGGGGCTGCAGTGGAATGGGGTGAAGACCCCGGAGAGGCCAGGGTGCTGGGTGTTGAAGTCACCCAGAAAGAAGGCTGGCCCTGGCTCAGGAGAGGCCCCCTGGGAGGCAAGGGCTGGAGCCTTCCCTATGTGGGGGGGAGGCAGGAGGAGGCGTGAAATGATCTGGGGAAAGTGGGGTTCCCCTCAAGACCTAGAACCTCAAGGCACAGGGGACCTTACCAGATGGTGGGACCGACACAGTCCAGGAGGCACAGAAGGCCTTGACCCACCTCCCACAGGGCATGGGAGAAGAGGGGACATGGTAACCCCACCAGAGGACCCAGTTTCAGTGCAGGGGGGACACGAAACCACCTGCAAGAGAAGAGCTAAGTCCAGCAGGGAATGTGATGGTCATGGAAAAAGGGTTTGCAAGGGCAATCTTTCAACAAATATTTATTGAGCAGCCGTATCTGCCAGGTCCTGGGATCGACACAGTCCCTGCCCTCGTGGGCTTAGGTCCTGGCAGAGGCCTAGTGGAAAGCCTTGGGGTGATGGGATGGGACAGTGGGAGGTGCAAAGGGCGACAGATGCTTCCTAGTTTTGAGCAAAGAGGCCCGGGGATGTGAGGAGCGGTGGCCCGAATCTCAGTCATGCCCTTTCCAGGAAGAGGGCTGACGTCCCCCTGCTGAGTCCATGTAGCCATTCCTTCCTGGGTCTGCTCCCTGACCACAATGCACTGAATGTCTATGGGGTGCAGGGCCTTGGGTGCAAGGGCCGGGCTAGGCCCAGCAGCGGGGTGGAGCAGGGGCCGAGTGAGTGGCCACACGGTTCCAGGAGGACGGTGGCCAGCAGCTGTAGAGGAGGGAGGTGCTCGGGGCTCTCAGAGGCCTGTCTGAGGGGGGCCGGGCTGGTGGGGGAGCCTTTGGAGGGCAAGGGAGTGGGAACACAACTGGAGAGACCTCCAGTGAGATCCGTGTCAGAATCCCTGGGGGAGATGCCTGCCCTAAGAGTCTGGGGCACTCTGCCTCCCTTCATCCTCCCTGCTGAGAGAGGTGTCAAGCTGGGCAGCCACAGAGGAGAGAGGAAGGGCAAAAAAGTTGTTGAGCCACTGGGCTACATTGGGGGAGCCCCGGAGGGAGCAGCCGAGGGAGCGCACTGCTCCTCGACCCCGGCGGCAGTGGCGTTGGCCCATGGCCCTCTGGAGGTGGCAGGGACCCTCCTGGGCATCGGCAGGATGGCCGGGAGGCCCCATGGTGGCAGGGGTGGTGGCCTGGACCTTGGGGGGAGGATAAGTCCACAAGGGTTTACAATACACTTTGAGGGGCAAGCGGAAGATCCGATGAAGATGGGCGGTTCTTTGTGTTCTCCGTGGCAGGAAGCTGGTCCCGCGGCGGTGGCAGATGGCAGCATCCTCCTGGTGACTGGCAGGCTGGCTGGGAGACTTGGCCTCAGGGTCTGCAGCTTGCTCGGCGCGATGGTGGGAAGCCCAAGCCAGGGGACGGCATGCGCCAGGGGGCAGACGGGAGGCCCGGGAGAGGCGGTAAGCTCCTCGTGCTCTTGGCAGGGGGTGGGCTGGCGAGGAGTGTGGTGCAGCGGTCTCCGTGGGCTCCATGCACTTTCCAATACAGAACCTCAGACTGAGGGCTGGAAGGGACCTCAGGGGCCACCCAGTCCAACCTTTCACTCTGTTCAGATCCCCTTTGCCCCATCCTCCATTAACCAACCTCCAGGGACGGAAGGGTCGCAACCCACAAAGGTACTTGTTCCATGGGGGGACGGCTTTCACGTTCTTTCTTAGGGCATGAGAACTCGCCTATCTGGGCCCCACACGGTGTGGCCCATGCCCTCGCGGCCCTGCACTGACCCTCACTGGTTGCAGGTAACCGGGGTACGGGCTCTTGTCCACCCTCCTCGCTGAGGACTTAGAGGTTAGAGAACGTGTAAGGAAGCTCCAGACAAAGGCATTAGCTAGTCCAGAAACGAGACAGGGCTTGGAAGGAAGCACTCTAGCAGCATTTCAGAGCACGTATGGTTACTGAAGGCGCCTGCCCTGGTACGAAGAGAGGGCTGGGGTGGTCCAGGCCCGCAAGTGGCATTTGGAGGCTGTCCTCAGGACAGCTCACAACTCACTGCCTCGCTGGAAAACTCCCCAGGCGCAGGGCAAGTCTGAGGGTCACCTGCTGTGGTTGTGTCCCCTGGGACCTGGAATGGGGGGAGGCAGGAGGCCAGGGCCGAACTTCTGGACCACTCACCGAGTTTTCAGCATCTGAGTCTTCCGAGCTGCTGATCACCACGACGCGTTCCTCTGAAACGGGGCAGAGGGGACAGCATTAGGCCCTGCTCGGTGGCCCAGTGGGTGAGGCCCAGGTGTGCTCCATTGGGAATCCCTGTGGGCGAGTGGATGGGGTGGGCCATGTGTGCCCTGCAAGGCGGGGGATGGGGACATCCACCAAGTGTACCGGTGTGGATCTACTTATTTATTCAAAAGGGCTTTCCGTCACTGCCCACTGCGCCCTGAACGTGAGTACTTAACTCAGCTAGCAGCCCTGAATTCGGAATCTGCTCCCTGTACAGGCAGCTTGGCAAACAGCCCCTGGTTTGGAACCTTTTGCGATCCTAAAGAAGCACGTTTGTTTGTTCCAATCCTCAGCCTCATGAGCTGAGGTGTTCGAATTAAAAGATACTTTACTTGGTTAATCAAAATCTTTTGATTACCAATAGCATTGTGAGCAAGGAATGTCAGTCAGGGCTCAGTGTGCAAGCAGGATCAGGGCTCAGTCTGGGACCTAGAATGAAAACAAAGGGGGCCTCTGGGTGAAGCAGATCTTGGAAGAACTGTCTTGACCATTCCAGAATTCTATTAGTTGACCGCAACTCATGTCCAAGGACTCCCTATCTGGCACTGTTAGTAAGAGATTATGTAGGACAAATGAAGTACTTGATGCAGGTGACCTCTGCAGACAAATTTGGGATGTGATAGGTGTGGACTTTCCCCAAGGTCTCTCTAGGCACATGCTAGGTACCCACCAACACACGCTCCCTGGGGACACCCGCCTTGGGCAGGGGCACAGTGCTGGGTACCCTAAGGGGGAAGGAGCTACAGAACCATGGGCTTTAGCCCCTCATGCTCCTCACACTGGAATCCCAGCAAATCACCTGGTAAACTGTATCCATTCTCACCCCCCAGGCAAACCGTGCGCTTTCCCTGCCCCATTTGGGGGCAGCTGAGAGCTCGGGACACACAGGGGATGCTGCTGGCATTGGGCTCCCTGGGAGGGATGAGGATGCAGAAGGGTCCCACCCAGCCCTTGGAGGACAGCACGCAGGCTGTAGCCTCTGCTGCCCACCCACCTCCCTACCTGCCTCCCCGGGGTTGCCGGCTGTGTGGTTGCTGTTGGGCAGAAAGACCTCGCCTCCAAAGATGGGGCTTTCAGGGCTGGAGGGCCCATCCAGGTGGGGTGGCGAGACTGCCTTGGAGGTGCTGGGCCTGGGCTGTTCGGGGGAGCTCCGGGCCAACCGTGTCTCCCTCTCCTCCTCAGACTCCATCTTGATGGCCTTCCTGGGGCACTCAGTCTGGCAGGACTTCCTCTTCTGGGGCAGGACTGTGTTGCAGACCTCCTATGCAGTGGGGAGTCACAGGGCCAGGTTAGCAGCCTTCAGGGGTGCTGGCGGGGTGCGCAGAGATGTGGACCTGGGTGGCAGGGGCCTGGGGCCCTCCCCATTTGCTCTCCACAGAGGACGCCCCCTGGGCTACCATGCCCACGGGCTGTCTGCTGACCACCGCCTCTGCTGGCCTCTGCCTGCCTTGAGTGGCTCGTGCTTACAGGGGAGGTTCCTGGCAGGGCAGCCAGGAGCGAGGGAGAAAACACAGTAGGTGCTGATTAAGGCCTGGATTCTCACCCCACCCCAACACCGCCTGCCTAGTGGGATCTGGGCTTCTAGGGACGGAGGTGGGGGTGGGGAGAGCCTTACCTCTCTGCAGGAGGAGTCTTTGATGGAGTAGGCGTGAACCGGCACTGGGTGTACCCCGGGCACTGGCTGGACCAAGCTCATAGTTTGGGTCTCAGCCAGCCCCGGGGCCTGAGCCTGAGCCCTCTGCGTCTCCTCTGGCTGTGAAGTCCAGAAACAAGAGAGACGGAAATGAGCAGGTGGCGAGCCCAGGGTTGAGAACCCAGGCCTGGGGTCGGCCCAATCCCCAGGGCCCACTGGGGACCAGGAGTCCTCCTCACACCCTCCGTGGCTTCACCTCCTCCTGACCCTGAGGTGCTGGCATCCAGGGTCAGTTCATTTCCTGGGCATCCTAACAGGGCCAGAAGGGGACTTCTGGGATCATGCGGACCAACCATGCCTTAAGGCTTGCTCAACGAGAACTCTAGGAACAGTGCTCGCTCCGGAAGGAAGCTACTCTTATACAGGTGCAAAGTTAGAATGGCGAGGAGACCCTTCCAGGGGCTTCCCTGTGACCGGCACTCTGCCCCTGGGCTTTAACTCCACTTGGGTCAGAATGGCAATTTACACACCTTGGACCCATCACTGAAAACTCCTCAGGCCTCCATCCCCCTCCGTAAAATGGGACTACAGGCAACATCTGTCTCGCGGGAATAGGTGGATGAACTCTGCTGCGCTTGGAAGAGCAGCTGACACTTAGTAAGCACCACTGATGCTGCAGATGGTAAAGACTGTTTTTACGACTCCGCTGTGCGGGGCACAGTGCGAAGTGCTTCCTACACCCATCCCGAAAGGAAGGAGGGAGGGGCAGCTCCTCAAAAAGTTAAACACAGAATTTCCATCTGACCCAACGATGAGACTCCTAGGCAGAGGCCCGAAAGACTGAAAACATGTTCAAATGGAAACCTGCACGCGAATATTCATGGCAGCCCAAAGGTGGAAACAACCCAGATGTCTATCAACCACTGAGTGGATAAACAAAATGTGGGACAGCCATTCAGCAGAGCATTACTCAGCCATAAAAAGGGACGGAGTTCTGCACGTGCAGCTTGGATGAACCTTGCACGCTACACGAAATGAAAAGCCAGCCACAAAAGAAGACAAGTTGTATGGGTCCGTTTATATGAACTATCCGCAAGAGTTGACTGCATAGGGAGAGAGCCGCAAGAGTTGACTGCATAGGGAGAGAGCAGATGGGATGCTGGGGTGGGGGTGGGGGAGACGGGGGGCAGCCACAACATCTCCTTTCGGGATAATGGGAATATTTTGGAACTAGGTGGGTGGGGTGGCTGTACAAGATTGTGAGCGTACTAAATGTCACTGAACTGTACCCTCTAAGATGGTTCAAATGGGGAATTTTCCTATATGAATTTTACCGCAGTAAAAAAAATTATAAAGAAATAGGGACCATCCTGTGATTATTGCCAATCTATAGAGAAGGGTCAGAGGCACGAGAGGTGAAGTGACTGATTTCCCAAGGTCCTGGACCGGGATTTGAATCTAGTGTTTCTGAAATGCAAGTTCCCTTTTCTTTAGTCACTGTCTCCCTTACACCCCTCCACACCACCTTTCTCTACGGTGCTGCATCTGCTGGACGGTTTGCTGAAAATAAGTGACAAGTGACCTGGGAGGTGTCCCTCGGAGAGGGGAGGCCCAGACTCTGGGGCTCGCCTCCAGGGACCCTGGCCTGCTGTTCCTGCTTCCAACTCTGTGTGTGCCCAGTAGACGACCATAAGCAGGGGCCTGCAGAGGTCTGTGTAGTGAAGGAAAGGGAACCGCACACAGCTGGAGCAGGGGCAAGCAGGGGCAACCTAGCATGACCATGAGCCCCCCCAACCCCACCCCCCGTGCTGGGACGGGAACCCCCCAGGGCTGGGCTCTTAGTATCGAGTACTTTGATGTGGGATGTGGGCTTCCACATCATTTGCTATAATGGACTGACTTCCTTTCCCCCCACTTCCCTCCTGGGTTTTTTTTTTTCCAACATCTTTACAGAAAGGAAGGAGAGTTGTCTCTCTGGATCAGAGCAGAGTGTATCTGGGGGAAGGGGGGAGAAACAGATGATCCCCTGGGCCTCTAGGAAAGTACACAATCTCCGCTGAGTGCTCTATACCACTGGTTTTCAAACTGTAGTCTGTGGCCCATTAGCGGATCATGAAAGCAAATCAGTGGGTCATGACCAGCATTTTTTAATATTACGCAGAATAGTACAGAACAGAAAATACCAGAGTACGTCCCATGTAACAAGTGTAATTTATCCTGCAAAACTTCCATTTCAGCTACAGTTATGTACGTGCATGCGTATATACTGTAGACTAGATATAAAACAGTATCTCTTTACAGTGGGTAGTGGTCAAAAATTGAAACACCTCACACCCATTAGGATGGCTATTATTGAAAACAGTGTGGGTGAGAATGTAAAGAAACTGGAGCCCACTGTTGGTGGGAACGTAGAATGGTGTAGCCAACTATGGGAAATTGCATAGTGACTTCTCAAAACGTTCAAAATAGAATTACCATATGATCCAGCAATTCCACTGCTAGGTAAATTTTATGTTATGTGTATTTTATCACCCTGAAAAATTTTTTTAAAAAGCTGAAAATGTCCTTTTGTGTCTGGATCTACAAATCACTGGTAGGTGAAAGACCCTCTTTCCACGTGGGCTATGAACTCCCCACGGGTGGGCTTGGGTCCCTCTCTCTGCATCTGTCCCACCCATGACACCCTCACTCCCAGGTTAATGAAGCAGGGGACACACAGGAGGGGTCTCTAAAGACAAAAAAACCATGATGACTGATTTCCAGTTGTTTTATAACTTTAAAATGTTTTATTTTTTTCATTGAAGTATTTTAACGTCATTACAAAAAGAGCTTAGAAGAAACAAAAAGAAAACGCCTCTAAGCTAGGCAGTCCTAGTCAAGCCTACTGCTATTCTTCTTATCGCCTCTGCGTGGGCACATGACTGCAATGAAAGTAAACCAACCATTTCAAGAGGGATCAAGTGTTGGTGCCGGAAGCCCAGCCTCTGCCTCCTAAGGCAGGGGCACGGACCCAAGAGTAGCCTTTCTCTGGGCATAGCTATAGGTGATGGACCGGACTTTCTCCTGGGACAGCCTAACCATGCCTGCCTCCCAGCCTCGCTGCAGCTGCTCCACTGGGCCCTTGGGCTCACAGTGTGAAACCTATTCCCCTCCCCCAGCTCCATTGGCCTAGCTGTCCCCTCCTCCAGCCTACTACCAAAGTGAAAGCAAGAGGCTTTGCAAAAAAGAACGTTCTTCCGATGTTCCAAGTTCAAACCGCTTAATAGCGGATAGGATGGTGAGAGGTCATGTAAAGACCAAGACCTGGCAAAATGCTGTTAATTAACCAGCGACTGGCACCTGGAAGACAGCCGAGTGCGCCGAGCTCCGTGGACCCTGGGGGCACTTTACACAATTATTCAGAGGATTTCTATGGGGACATCATTCATCCTTGCATTGTAATACCAAAACCACCTAAATATGCATTGGCAGGGAATTGGCTAAATTAAGCATGCTACATCCATTCAATAGGCCACTGTGCAGATGCAAAAAGGCATCAGGAAGCTCCCTACCTACTGATAGTGTAAGAATTCCAGAGGATTCCAGAATACCTCCTTGGGTGAAGAAGCCTGGGCACAACACTCTGAATATATGGTATTATGCTACCTTTGTTCAAAAAAAGAATGGAAAAACCAATTGCCTGTAATCATATTTGCTTGTAATGACAAAGAAATTCTGGAAGGATATGTAAGAAATAAAGAAAGATAGGTATATGGGCATAGAAGTGGAAAGATAGGGACCAGGTGGGCGTGAGACATTATGTATCCCTTTCTTTCTTTCTTTTGTTAAATCCAGGTAATGTATGTGCAGGATTGGGGCAGCAAGGTGCCACATGTAGGGTATTATGCGACAATACGGGCTATGCACAATTACAGCCTTTTTTACATTGTATAAGAAATCACTGAGATGCTGACTAATGGGAGACCTCAAACGAGGAATGCGGTAGGGAGAGATGGTAGGTGAGTGTCCTCCCCACCTCAAAACAGTAATTCTCAACTGAGCTACAAATCATCATCACTGGGGATCAGAAAAAAATTTTTTTAGGTACAATTTATATACAGTGAAATGCAGAAACTGTAAGTGTACAAATCAGTGACATTTTAAAAATTGGGAGTATAGTTGACATACTTACCACTTTCTATGTTTTTACTTCTGACCATGTGATCATATTACTTATCCAAAAAACAAAATACTTTTGTTTTTTTCCTTTTTACTTTACTTTTCACTTTACTTCTCCTTTTTCACTTGTCAAGCTATATATATGGGAATGCAGTACCCAAAGCAGGTAAGAGTTGGCTTCTAGTCCTACCCCTAGCTTGCCGTGTCATGTGGCTCTGAGTTAAGTCACCCTCTCTTTGGGCCTTAACTTTAGCCTGTGCAAAAGAGGGGGTTAGACTCCACGCTCTCTCCTAGCTCTAAAACTCTCAGAGCCTAAATCCTGCCTCCTCCAGGAAGCCTGTCCAGATTGCCTGTCTACTGCAATCTTTTTCTCCTAAAGGCCATGTATGGCAAAGCTAGGAAGGCTCACCGCCTGACCCGCTACCACCAGAAGACCTGCTTTCCATGGAGGGTTGATGGGTCCAGGGCCCACATCCTTGACAGGCAGGCCCATGCAAACCTGGATGACCACAACGCCTGGTCCAAGAAGGAACTCAGGAAGCTTAGCCCAAAGCAGAGGAACCATGCATGCAAGCATCCAAGAGGGCAAGCCAAAGCAGGGCCACTGCATTTTCCCCCTGGCCAGCAATCTAAGTCAGAGCAGTCCAGAGACAGGAGTGGCTGTCTCAAGAATGAGTGAGCTTCCTCTTCGTGGAGGTGTGTGTGTGGACAGCCACAGGTGAAGGGTGCTGCAGAGGGAATGCCATCATTAGAGGGCGTATGGACACCTCCCAATCCTGAGAAACTATGGTTCTTTTTTTTTTTTTTTTTTTAAGATTTATTTTATTTTATTTATTTGAGAGCGAGAATGAGAGAGAGTACATGAGGGGGGGAGGGTCAGAGGGAGAAGCAGGCTCCTCGCTGAGCAGGGAGCCCGATGTGGGGCTCGATCCCGGGACTCCAGGATCATGACCTGAGCCGAAGGCAGTCGCTTAACCAACTGAGCCACCCAGGTGCCCGAGAAACTATGGTTCTTGCACCTATGCTGGTCCTGAAATCACACCCATGAAACCCAAGCTGCTGGGACTGAGGTCTGACTCCTGGCCCCATTCTCCTCTCCAAGAACCGCGTGTGGGGAAGAGGAGGGGAAGGCCCCTATGGTGATTCCAGGAAAAGGCTCACAGGTCTGGGAAGGGGTACAGGGTAAGGGAGAGGTCATCTACCACATCTGTCAGGGCCACCCACTGGTGACTGCCTTCTTCACCTCCTGTCCATCCCTTCCTGAACCCATCAAGTGCATTTAGGAGTCCAGAACCAGCCAGTTTGCCAGCCCTTCCTTTACTCCCTCCCACCGAAAGCTCCAGTCCAGCCACTCGCTATCCCTCTCAGGCACTCTCTCTCCTCTACTGCCTGCAGACATAGGGACAACGAGACTCAGTTTCCTTCCCACCACAGGGGAACCTGTCTGACCTGCTGGACCCTACCGCCTCCCCTTCACACCTGAACCCATCTCACCGGGTCAATGTCAAAACAATCCCTAGGAGTGCTGGCAGCCTCTGGGTTGGCTCGCCTGGGTACAGCTGCATCTGGAGAACAAAGAAAAGGTCACAGGCAGGTCAGGGATATCCCCGGTGAGAGGCATCTTGGATGGGACAGTGACAGAGGAAATGTCCCTGATGCTTTTCCTAGAGACTCAGGCTTCAGGGTCTCTCACAACACCGGGGTAGCTCCATGGAGGGGCTGTCATTTGGAAGGAGAGCCCCCTGACTGCAGTGAGCATGAACCCAGCCAGAGAGGAAACTGCAAACCCCAGGGGCACCCTCTGTCCATCTCCTGGCCACCACCAAGGCAAAGTGCAACCAATCCTAAGGTTGTCGTTGCTCGCTGACTTCTCTGCATACAGTGAGAGCTTCAGATACTCTTATGACCCACAGCCTGATTTCTATTACATCTAACCTAAATCTCTCATGCTTCAGAATAAAAGAGCTCCTTGCCCTGCCACTGCCCAGTTATGATACCGAAGACAAGCTGTTTAAACTCTGTGGGGTCATTTCCTGTATACGGAGTAACATTCACTGCCTAGGTGGAGAAGGCACAAATCCATATCCACTCCAGGATTATACTTTTATGAGCCCACATCCCTCAGCTCCGAGGGCAGGAGTGAGTGAGGAGCCCCCATCACTGGCCCTTGCCCAGATACCTTCAGATTCTGTTGCCACCCACCCTTTCTCGGTAAGGGCATCCTCACACTAGTTTATCTATCAGCTGTGGGCAGCTGGTCCAGATGACAGGCCATGCTGGAGGCAAAGTATCTCCTCCACTGAGCCAGAGTGTGATTTTGGGTAACCATCCAACCACCCCCGGGGGTTTCCTCAGCCCCCTTCTGCTCTAACCTCAGGTTCAGTTGAATTCTCTGTTGCTGGACACAGGGCTTAAGCGAACTTCCTGGCGTGGTTACCCTCTGAGGCTAAAATGATACTGGGTCTGGTTCTCTGCTTTGTATTTTCTTAACTTCTCCGAGGGTCACAAGATCACAGCTAATCCAAAGGGTCTTGCAAATTAGTACAACATGACCCCTCTGGGAGGCTGCAGACCCACGTCAGGGCCTACTCTCCTCCTCATAACCTGCACTCTAGAATCTACAATGTGAGCAACCCTAGACTTAATTTAAAAAAACACAGGTTCCTTTCCTGTCACATGTAAATGACCTTTTTCTGCCCGTCTTGCTTGTGCAAGAGCAAAGCACAAGCCCTTAAATGGTAAAGGGGTTGGTCACGAGGGTGGCTCGGGTGCTTACCTGCCCCCTGAGTGATGCAGGAGACCAGTTCCTGCAGGCGCGCTTTGAAGTCGTCGAAGCTGTCGGTGCGCACGGTGGTTTGCAGGTTCTGGGGCTCCTCCCGGCGCAGGCGGCTGAGCGCCTCACGCAAGAAGCCGTGCAGGTCCAGCACCTCCTGGTCAGAGGCGTAGCGCTTCATCCTCTGCACCAGCGAACCTCCCAGGCGGATCCGCTGCAGCACAGCTTCCAGGTGGCCCAGCTGGCCGGCGATCTCTTCATAGCTGCGCTGGTACTGCGCGTTCACCCCCTCCAGCAGCACTTGCTCCTGGGCCAGCACGTGCGCCACCAGCTGGCGCACGCGCTCGTGGATCAGCTCCTCGGTGTCTGCGCGCATGCGGCCCAGCTGGCTGACGGCTGAGCGCATGTGCGCCTGCGCCGCCCCGAAGGCGCTGTCCTGCTCCTGCAGTGCCTGCGCCATGGCGTCCAGCTCCTCCTGCCGCTGCTGGATCTCCGTGCTGATGTCGCACTTGAGCTCGCTGTGGCCGCTATCCAGAAGCGCGCACGAGCAGCACAGTGGTTTGGAGCAGCCTCGGCAGTAGATGCTGCGGAGACACAAGGCCGACCTGGTTTAGGGCTCTCCTGCTCCCCCCTCACCACTCCCCCCACCCCCGCTTTAAACTTTCGTTAATTAAACTCCTCTTCAAAAATTACAAAACTTTGAATCATGGTGTGTTTCTAGGTTCGTGCTCTTCCCAATTCAGTTTGTGGTTTGTGTGTGTTTAAGATTTTATTTATTTATTTGAGAGAGAGCGAGCACAAGCAGGGGGACCCGCAGAGGGAGAAACAAGGCTCCTCGCTGAGCAGGGAGCCCCATGGGGGGGCTCCATCCCAGGACTCTGGGATTATGATCTGAGCTGACAGCAGGCTTAACCGACTGAGCCACTCAGTCGCCCCTCAAGTCTGTGGTTATGGTGCTAGTCTCCAAACTACCAATAAAACATTAGCACATAAAAAAGTTACTAAAGTAACAACAGCTAGGCTTCTCTGTGAAACAATATACAGATACACAAAAAGTTAATCATCTCTTCACACCACTTCTGAATTTCTTTTCCCTTCCTCCGAGGAAACCAGAGGAGCATCTGGGTGCGTCCTTCCACAACTCTGTCTGCTCAAACCACTTTACACAAATAGCCGGACTATGCAGCTGCTTGCAGGATTTTAAGGACTTGATACATTTTATCCCACGTAATGCTCCCTAGAGTTTCCATAGAGTTTCCGTGGGGAGAATTATTGTTACCCTTTTTTCACAGGCGAAGAAACCCAGACATTCAGAGGTTAAATAATTGGCTCAAGAATCTACAACAATTTTGGTGGGTTGATGTTTTTTCTTCAAAACAAAACAAAACAAGATCATGCTATGAATGAGATCATGAGTAATGACTTTGTAACTTCCTCCTCTAATTTAACTTTTGTTCAGGACATTCCTGGAGGTCCAATAAGTATAGATCTAATGTATTCTCTTTAATAGCGCCTTTGAATTTCACATGTACCACAACGGATCCAGTCATGCTCCTGTTAATGGACATTCCAGTGATTTCCTGTTTTTTTTTTATTTTTAAAGATTTTATTTATTTATTTGAGGGAGAGTGAGCGAGCACGAGCAGGGTGAGAGGCAGAGGGGGAAGCAGACTCCCCGCTGAGCAGAGAGGCCGATGTGGAGCTGGATCCCAGGACTCCGGGGAATCATGACCTGAGGCCAAGGCAGACACTTAATCGACTGAGCCATCGAGGCACCCCAGTGATTTCCTATTTGTACATTTTTTTTTCTTTTTGCCAATATGGACAATGCTTTATGTGGCCTAACACATGGATGCTTTTGTTTCTATGAAATAGGTTACAAATAATAGGAATGTTAAATCAAAGAGTATGCATATTTTTATTTATTTAATATATTTTAGCTAGCAGACACTTCCATAGCATTTTCTATGTGTCAGACACTATTACAAGCATTTGAGAAATATCAACCCTTTTAATCCTCCTAACGCTCCAACAAAGTAGGAATTATTATATCCCCATTTTAAGGATGAGGACACTAAACAAGAGGTACAGTAACTTGTCCAAGGTCACACAATTAGTAAGTGATAGAGTCTAGAGGCAAACTATAGTAGGCAGAATAATGTACTAATTCCCAGAACCTGAGTATGTTATGTTATATGATGATAAGGACTTAGTACATGTGATTAAGTTAAGGATCTGGGATGGGAAGATTATCCTGGATTATCTGGGTGGGGTCCTTATAAGGAAAGAAGGGGAGGCAGGCAGGTGTGAGCAGGAAGATGTGATCATGGAAGCAGAGGTCCTGTGATGCTATCCTGCTGGCTTTGAAGATGGAAGGGGGCCATGAGCCAAGGAGTGCAAGCAGCGTCTAGAAGCTGGAAAAGGCAAGAAAACAGATTCTCCCCAAGAGCCTCCAGAAGGAACGTGGCCCTACTGATACCTCGATTTTATCTCTGTGAGACCCATTGCAGACTTCTGACCTCCAGAGGTATGTAATAATACATTTGTAAAGGGTTAAGCTCCTACATTTGTGGTAATTCGTTACAGCTGCAATAGGAAACTAACAGAAAACTCCAGGCAGTCTGGCTCAAGTCCCTGGTCCTGCAATGCCCCCTCTTCAAACGCTCCCAGGAAAATACTGTTAGTCACTTCCCCAGAAAGTTTGCTGTGATTTATTCTCATTAGCAGCAATAGTCAGCCCACCTGAGGCCAGGAGAAAGGATCTTAGCTGGAGCCCCTTTGGCCTCAGTTACTGAGATCAGCTTGTCCTGGAACAGCCAGTGGAGACTGCCAGGCAACCTGACTCCAAAACTGTGGCATCAGGCACCAGTCCTCAGCTTTGCCAGCTCTCAGCCTCCCCAAATCAACCAAGAAGGCAAGGCCTCAGAACTTGAACCTCTTGATCAAACACAGGAGACTTATTCTAGGCCAGGAGAGGTTTCCTGGAGAGTCTAGAGTGTGAGGGAAGCATGGGGGCTGCCACTGGGTCAAAAGCATTCAGCTCCTCCAGCCTGGGGAAATCTGATGTAAGTGACAGAGACCCATCGCCACAAGGCGGGGCTGGGGACTGAGGTAAGTGTCAGCTGAAGCAGAGAAAAGAGCTGGGAAAATGTGGATCTGACCTTGGCTCTGTGCCCTTGGCAAGTCACTTAACCTCTTTGCACCTCAGTTTTCTTATCTGTATAACAGGGATAATCCCCAACTCATATGGGAGTGCTATAGAGGATCAAATGAGAGAAGTCCTATATAATATGAAAAGAACCAATAACTCTGCAGAGGGCAGCTTGGCAACAGCCATCAAAATCACAAATGCATTTATCCTCTGACCCAGCAATCCCTCTTCTACATAGCTATTCTGTAGCTCTATCTCTAACTTACAAAATAACATCTGTACAATGCAACACAGTATGTAAGAGCAAAGAACAGAAACAAGGCTAGGCAATGAGTTTCATAAATTAGGATGTACTCCATACAGTGGAATGCTATGCAGCTGTAAGAAATCGAGGAAGCTCTTTAAATGGAAAAATCTCCATGGCAAAATGAGGATAATAATAGGAGCATAAAAAGATTAAATGAGTTAATATATATAAAAGGTTAGACTAGTGACTAGCATATGATGAATGTTCAATATTTGTATTATTATAATGTATATTTTAAATAAAAAAAAATTGGGGTGCCTGGGTGGCTCATTCGGTTAAGTCTGCCTTTGGCTCAGGTCATGATCTCAGGGTCCTGGGATCAAGCCCCGAATTGGGCTCCCTGCTCAGCGGGAAGCCTGATTCTCCCTCTCTCTCTGCCCCTCCCCCTGTTCATGCTCTCTCTCTCAAATAAATAAATAAATAATCTTTTAAAAATAAATAAATAAAATCAATAGGATGCCACCTATTGTGTAAGAATGAACAAAAGTAAAAATATATTCACATTTGGGGAGCCTCGGTGGCTCAGTCGTTAAGCGTCTGCCTTCGGCTCAGGTCATGATCCCAGGGTCCTGGGATCGAGTCCCACATCAGGCTCCCTGCTCGGCGGGAAGCCTGCTTCTCCCTCTCCCACTCCCCCTGTTTGTGTTCCTGCTCTCGCTGTCTTTTTCTCTGTCAAATAAATAAATAAAATCTTTAAAATATATATATATATATTCACATTTGGTTGTATTTGAATAAAAACATCTTAGAAGGACATACAAGTTAATAAAAGTAGTATGGATGGGGCAGGGCAGAGATGGAGTGAGACATTTCACTGTAAGCCTTTTAAATTGCTTTCATGTTTGGGGTGCCTGGCTGGCTCGGTCAGTTGAGCGTGTGACTCTTGATCTCAGGATTGAGTTTGAGCCCCATATCGGGGGTAGAGATTACATTAAAATATTCTTTTGTTTTAATGAAATCTTTTGATTGCTTTCATGTTTGAAGCTTGTGAATGTATTACCTATTTTTAAAATGAAAGAACAGAATACTAATAAATGTGGGGAACTATATAGCATGTAGAAATAAACGGAGAACCAAATAAAACCTCCTGTCATTTTCCCTGCTTTGGACCCATGGGAGGGGCTGAGTCTGAAGTTAGCCTCCCTTCCTTAGAAAGAGTGTTCCAAGCCTGGGAGGGGTACGCTAGGGTAGTAGTCTGGCTGGCGGGAGAGCAAGACCTTTTGGGTTGACCACAGTCTCTGCTGGGCCCTATTCCTAAGCCCTTTCTGCCCTAAATGGGGTCTCCCTAGGGAAAGTGGCCACTGCTCCCCGACTGGCTGGAAGCAGACAATGGGCAGCATCTCTGTGAGGTGGTTGGCTGGCATCAGAGCCCCAGCCTTCTGATAAAACTGAGGAGCAGACCATAAACTGGAGTGACCCATCGAGGGGCTGCCACCTGAGACCAGAACTGAGTTCCTTGGCCTAGGATTCCTTCACTCTCACTCAAGGAACACTCACTGAACCAAATGAGGGCTTGGCACTTTGTGGGAGGCAAGGTGAAGTGGGCACGTGCCCACAAGGAGCTCCATGACAAAAGCCCGAACTTAACACAGACAAAGAGAAGAATAGCTCTAAAGCAAAATGACAGTTATTTGCTCCTGGACTACTCAAAAGAATGAGCTAAACCAGCATAGAATTAATAAGAAGTTGCTGCAGAAGGTGGCTGGAATACACCAGAATTAAGAGTAGAAAATTGCTTAATTCTATCCCAGCAATTCAAACGAAGAGAAATATGGAAAAAAATTTCCATGCTCTCATTCACAAACAGCAATTTTCAAATGCTTAAAAAAAAAAACAACTTCTGACATAATTCTAGCAAAAAATATACATATGGAAAAAAGACAAAACTCCATTGAGAGAGAAAGTCTAAAAAACAGAAAAATGTACCAAGGTCCCAATTGGAGAGGCTAAATATTATGAATATCAATTCTTCTCAAGTTAATATAAAGATTTAAGGCAATTTCAATCAAATTACAGATGAGATTTTGAAACTTCACCAACTGATTCTAAATTTCACAGGATGGAAAAAATAGGATGGAATAGTTAAGAAATTTTGGGGAAATCAGTGTTAAGAAGGGGAATTTTCT